TGACAGGGGGCGGGGTTTGCTTCACGTAGCAATGGGGCGCCGTAAAGAAAACCCAACACACAACAACAGAAACTGTTTAACATCGGCTGCAGATGGGCTGAGAGAGAAAAATAATACCAGACCCTCTTACAAGCATACACATTTAAACAAGTGCATAAAAACACACACATGCTCGCTGGAAATGTGCGACAGTGGCAGTCCGGCGTGTAGCAAACACTCAGCGGTGACCCACCACTCCACACAGCGCCCCTTTAAACGGGTTGAACTGATCTACGAAGCAGCAGCAGCAGCCACACAACAAGAGTTCAGCACCAATACAGTCTGAAACAGCAGTGACCTAAACAAATAACGAAAAGGAAAATGAAAGCTGCTTTAACTGACAGAACAGGTTGTAAAATAACTATTTAGATAACGCTGCCCTGTTAAGAAACATGCTCCTGGTTTAAAAGTACAAGGTACCAAAGAGAGGGTAAAGGCCCGTAGGCCCGCGCGTGTTGACTCAAGCGTCGCTTTGTAAATACGGCGCTTTAGTATCCGATACCGAGAAAGCCCCGGACAATACTCACAGTAACCGCACACAGAGTAAACTGGACAGCCAGTCATGGGGGGGAGACAAACAAGGGGAAGTGGTTTTGTTCACACTCAGGACGGATGCTCACTAGCACGGAGCTCTGGGTAAAGGCAGACACATTCACACTAGGATGCAGGATGTAGATGGTGGTGACAGGAGGGCTGACTCCTTACATACGCCGCACGGTAATCAGCACAATGTCTTGGTTGGCGGGGAGGAAAAAAAAAAACAACCAAAAAAGAAGCACACCAAGTCCAAACCATTGAGCCAGGCCACCAGGAGATAAAACAAAAAGAATTATTCTAAAACGCAGAGCAACGAAAGAAAACAAGAACTTTTGAGGGGAGAGAGAGAGAGAGAGAGAAAGAGAGAGAGAGAGAGAGAGAGAGAGAGAGAGAGAGAGAGAGAGAGAGAGAGAGGAGATGGGCTTCAGCGGGTACTTCTAGTCTTCTCCAGAGGGCGCCTCCTCTTCTGAGCCGTCCTCCTCCTCCTCCTCGTCCTCCTCCTCGTCTCCTCCCGGGGCCTCCTTCGTCGTCTTGGGGGCAGGGGAGGTCTCCTTCTTCTTCTCCACCACCTCCTCCTCCTCCTCCTCCTCCTCTAGGGGACTCTCGGGGTCCTCCTCTTCCTCTTCTTTGGGTGAGCTCTTCTCGGGGGCCTTGGCGCTCGGGCGCCCCTTCCCCTTTCCTTTCATCGGGCTGGGGGTCACTGGGCAGCAAAGAGACAAATCAGTTCTCCATCATCGCATTACGTTCAACTTACAGATTCGGTTTCATTTCCCCCAAAATTCTGTATTTTATAATGTAAACACATTTTGTGATCAGAAAATGTGTCTAATTATGTGGCGGCTGAATTCAATAAGAAACCACCAAAATGTAACGCACACCAATAAATCTGATGCAACTATTTGTCACTATCCGTTTTTAATCAGAGAAAGTGCTTCGATAGAGTAATCAAACAAAACGTTCCATCCTTTCGTTAAACAAAGTGCTCTAAATTTAGCTCGATTTATTGTCAAATTCCTCCGTTTTCGGATGACCCCCAAAGTCCCCCCTAACCCGTGTGTTCTCATTGGCTGCGATGCGTCTGTGGACCCCAGGAACACCAGCTGTGCTTTAGAGCCGTGTTTACTGACATAGTTTTTGTCGTAGAGAACATGAAACCTTCTTAAGCCCGTGTTAACAACAGACCAAAGCCTACTTTGTCCCGCCACACTTTCATAATGAACCAAAGATACTTTTACACAGGGACAGCGCCAGGCTCGGAAATGATTCAGAACGACTAAGCTGATTGGTTTAAATTATTGACATTTCTTTTTGGGACAGAATCAAAGGACCCTCACCTGTGGCCTTTAGTCGGGGCTTGGGGCTTTTCTTCTCCTTCTTGTCCGGCCGTCCCCGTCGGATCACCTTCTTGCCCCTCTTCTTGGAGCGACCATAGTCACTGTCGTCATCGTCCTCCACCGTGAAGTCCTCATCACTGCCGGACTCGTCAGCTGAACACAAAAAGGGACGCATGAGGATGTTTTCAACACAGGTGTAACATGGACCTTTTATATATTTACAATGTTGATTAGTTCACAATACCACGCCTCACACTAATTAAAAAAAAAAAAAAAAAAAGTTTGGAGATCTGTGGAAAAGAATGTTTTCAGAGTAGGCCCATATACTCGCCATGTTTCATTCTCTTTGGCTGAAGATAGATTACAACACTGCCACCTAGTGGTCGGGGGTTTAAACTGGTAGTGTAACGGACCATTGTTGATACCTCGTGTTTCAGCACGTGTTAACCATCACAGTGTGAAATCAAGTTTCACTGACGACCGTTATCCGCCGATAGTCAATAAAATAGGTGACCAGGACATCAACATTTCTGCTTTCTTAGTCGTGGATCTCTGATAATGTTACATCGTTAACAACCAATCCGTGTTTAAATCAACAGAACGAGTAACAACTGCAGCACGGCTAACTGCTAACCAACGAAGGATCCCTTCACTTACATCATGATGCGCTCAGGCTCTGTTCAGTGAAAATGAGTATTGGGGTATTGGACAAAGGTAAATTATAACGTCGTCATGATGTGTTCACATGTGATCTCATAAAATGTGGTGTTAGTGAGAAACTTGGAATAAAGTAGTCTGGAGCCTTGTTGTATAATCAAACAACTAAGGGATCTGTATCTGTATAATATGGATCATCAATGATCTGCAATTAGTATCGGCAAAACAACGTGATCAGGGATGTCTAAATGTTATATTTGCTCCCTTTTCTTTTGTGCTGATCTGATCTGTCATCTGAATGAGTTTTAAGATCCGTTGCACCACCAGTTTAAAATGAACCACTGTCTGCCATGAATCTTTGCACGTAAACTATGAATTAATACTGATCGTGTGGATTCTCAAGTCTATCCATATTTTCTGTACATACGGTCGTTGTAGGGCTCCTCCTGGTCTTCGTGCTCCTCGTCCTCGCTGCCTGCATCTCCCAGCAGGATCTCCCTCTGTTTGGACACGGCCTTGGAGGCCGCCTGGCGCACTGTGCGCTTTCGACTCACTTCCTTCTCGTCGTCACTGTCATCTACGCAAAGAACACAGTAAAAAAAAAAAAAGAAAAAAAAAAAAAGGGGATTTACACCAGTGGTATTAAAGGCTTCATGCAGCTGATGAATTACTGATGTCATAGTTCACACCAAACGCAGAGTAGATTACATACAATGTCTATGCACAGACGCGATGAGACCGACGCAAATTTGCGATGGCGAGAGAACCAACAAAACATGAATTCAAACTTTTTACGAATTGGCATCATTGTGTAGTTACTTCGGCATCTCTTTTTGTCCATTTATTGCAGTTAAAATCACAGCAAAATCTGTTTATTTTGTGTGCATACAGCTGTAGTAAACAGCCGACGTGTGGCTTGTTAGACACAGTGAATACGCCTCGATAAAATCCACGGAGCTCCTCCGGACGATGTTATGAACCAGACAAGACGGCGTTCAGTTTCCCGGGATATCTGTGACTTCAACAACAAGTACTAAGCAGCGATAGAGGTTATTTCTTCCATGGTTGATGGCAGAAATAAATGGCTTAAGTTATTAACAGCTTCCAGGGCGATAAGCCACGCCCCCTCTTCGGTGCATCAAACGTGAATGGCGCGATTCACACGAATGACTACAAATGAATAATTTGTGCCGCGCTTGGTGTGAATGCACCTTAACCCACTTTTATTAAAGCTATAATAAAAGTTTATTTTTTATCTATCTGGATGTTAATTGTTTTGATGGCAATGCCATTCATTTCTATACACGTGATAAACAATTGTTCAGCATTTCCCTGCTGTTCTATAGATATTTTCCCCCAGAATAACCAACATGAGAAAGGCCGATTGGTTCGTCACAAATATGGAACCTAAGAAACACCCTCACCATCCTACTCACTGACCAGTAAAGCAAGATCTGTTTTTTCACCCATTAGCAGATCTAAATGTAAATTTGGAGAAAGTCCATTCTAAATCTCATTTCCCCGAGCTTTTAGGGTTTCTGTTGGGAACAGTCATCTTGTAAACCAGGGGGTGCATTCTGGGTAACAAAGCTACGCAGTAATGGATTGCGATGCCTTTAAATGGAACACACACTGTGTAATGAAAAGCCATAGTGAAACAATGCAGCTGCGTTGTAGGACATTTGAAGCCCTCATACTGCCAGGTCATTACTGAGAGCACATACATTGTGCCTGTAGGAGGTTAATTATTCATTTGGCCACTGATGAGGCAGTATAAAGGCAGTTATTTATGGGATTTAAATCAGCCACAAAGAAACAATCACCCAGCCCCAGCAGCTTTAGAACCTGACGGGGGAAAAGGGGCACAGACGTATGTGTAATGAGGACGTTGTTTAGACTATCACCTCGTCACCTGATTGGTCACAAATGGAAGAGATGCCTTCAACATCCACCAGACCCGAGCTCTGTAGATGACCGATTGATCAAATCATGCCTTCGACTCGCAGCGATAACTCAAAGCAGAGCGTCGCAGTGTTGGAGAATGCTGGAGGCAAACGACTCAATCTGTCACAATCAGCCGGGGATTGTGGGAAGAATGAGCTTGAGGAGCACGTCAGGGAGAGCACATGCAGTGCTGCCCGTCAACAAGTCGTTTTAGATCTTCACGTATCAAAAGATCAATATCGATGGCACCAATTGCCTGTGTGGCCTTCCAAAACATCCTGGATCAGTGCATGTCACAGCTAGGAAACATCATCTGGCTGCACAGACATCCAAAGCCACTCCAGTTGAAAAACTGACTTCTTTTATCAAATTCAGCCACATTTCATTTAGGTACAGTCTGTCTAAACCCTTCATAGTCTTCGCCCATGATAACCACAGACACAGCGCAGCCTTTTGTTTTTCTTTAATATGTGAATCTTAAAGGAGCAGTGTGTGGGGCATCTAGTGGTGGTCTCTGTAGAGCCACGGTTTGGTTTGGTTTGTCCGCTCTGGGCTACTGTAGAAACATGGCGGACTCCGTGAAGAGCACATGGGAGAAGTTTGACTTCAGGGCTTTAGGCCAGAAATCTCTTCACATTTAGGCAACAAACCAATGACACTGATAAAAACATAGTTATGGATATTATATTTCATTGCATTGCTAATAAATCCAGTTTAAAAAAAGCAAACAGTAGAATTGATATTTATAGTTATAAAATGATCCCTTCGATATGTAGAGGGTAGAAACATGAATCTTTACCTGCAGGCCGTTTTCTCTTCGGCCCTCTCTTGGCGGGCTTCTCCACCTTGGCGGCTTTCTTTCCCTTTTTGCCTTTTTTTTCTTCATAGTCGCTTCCCCCGTCTTCCTCCTCCTCCTCGCCAAAGTCGTTGTCTTCCTCCTCGCTGCCAAAGTCATCTGCAGCAGCGACACAGAGGGGAGTCAGTTCACCTGTGTTCGGCCTCCGCGATTCAAATTCCTGTTGTTTTCCCTCAAGCGCCTGAGGCAAACGCTCTCGTCTAAAAATCGGACAATAGACTCGACTTACCTGCTGACTCATTTTTGGGTTTGGTGAGCTTCTCATCAGACTCCTCACTGGAACAAAGATTAGGGAAAACAAACGTCTTAGCAACTAGGGTACCCAGGGAGATGTTGAACAAAGGCACAGACTTTAATCTGCAGTTTATTATTCAAATAAATATTCAACAAACAAGCAAAATGCAACACATGTTCTAATTCTTCCAAGGATGAGGTAAACAATCACAGATTTCTATGGACTGTACAAGATGAATTAACTGGTACACATATTTGTTCACATGCCTGTCTGTGATTTTTGTACTTGATCCCCGTGTCTTAGGTGCACTAAGGCCATGTCCATACTACTCCGTTTTTGCTACGTTTACACTGAGCGGCCACACTACGCCGGAGTTTTGGAGCACCTTAAACGGAGGAGTCTGAAAACTCCGCCGAGGTTGGAGGTTTTTGAGAACTCCGGGGTTGCGTTTGCGTGTGGACGGTCCGATACGGATGTGCTTAGAAAAAATTATGCCCACACCCGTGTTCGCTACTGGATTGGTTCTTGGCAACCATGACGTCTCCGTCCCTGATTCGTCACACTCACTATCACGTGACCCGTACCCGGAAGAAAACAAACTGGGCGACCAGCGATTCATTTCAACATGGATAACTAATTGCAAGCGTTGCTGCTAGCACAACAGCTACATGATGTTGCTGCTAGCACAACAGCTAGCAGCTGTTGTGCAGTAAAAGTCTGCATTTCTGTGGAGGAAGCAGCTGTTATTGGAGTGATTAGCGAGCGGTGTGACCAGCATCAGCCCCATGGAGCAGCTTGTTGTTTTTAGATTCTAATAAGACACGCTGCACTAACGTTTTACTTCTTCAGTTTGGTAGACTTTAGAGACCTTAGTCTGTAAGTATGTCTTTATGAAGCATGAAAAGATGTACGTAGATATATTCTATTCGCGTGTTTAGTATAACATTTGTGTTGTATTAAATGCTAATCGCGGTTAGCATTTCTCCATTGGCGGTAATGTTAAAATTAGCTTAGAAGCTAGCTAGGCGGACGTGATGTTCAGAGCTACTAGTGAGAACAGACATCAACAACACGGAGGAAACGAGTGAGAGACGTGTGTTGACCACATTGATGGACCCATAATCTAGTAAGCGTTTACGTGTAAGTGTTGATGTTAAAGTAAATTTGATGTGAGAGAGAGAGATAGACCTGCAGCGCTGTACTACGTCTGAAAAATAAAACTTCTAAAACTTTCCACGAACTGTGTCTGTTTGAGTTTATAGAGGGAGATTTTAGAGGAAGATCTTAAGTATCAAATACAACCTTTCATTATTAAAGACTACTTTATTACTCTGTCGTATTTTTTTTTTTTAACTAAGCAAGCAATCCACTTCCTGTTTACACCGTCACACGCATGCCCAGTGTACGTTAATGGTCACGTGCTGTCCGCCTTCGAAGGCTGCCGTGTGGATGCAGATCAACTCGAGAATGATGCTGAAACTCCCGTGTGGACGGAGATCGGTTCTATTTGACAACTCTGCATCCAAGTAAAAACGGAGTAATGTGGACAGGGCCTAAGACACGGGTGCTGTATTTCATTGAGGGAGTGTGCAATCGGCATGCTAATAGCAGGAATGTCCACTAGAGCTGCTGAATGTCCTCTTTGCCACCATACACCACCTCCTTTCACTCATTTACACGCATCAACTGGCAGTCAGCAAACCCAGTCCTGCTCACTGCTACAGCACACCTGGCTTTCTCCCTTCTCAACATGTATTTGATCAACTACTCTTTCTCTGCTAACCTGACCCGCCAGATGGTTTGTTATGCAGAAGCGTCTGAGAAGCCATCGTTGGAAAGTGTTTGGAAAAGAGCAGGCTCTTGGCAGGAGATTGGATGAACCATCAGTCAATCAACTCTTAACGAAGCAGGTCGGGAGAAGAGCGAATAAATCTGTTCCATGTAGAAAAGCCTGTAGAGCCGTTCTTTGCTCTTCTTTTAATGAAGAAATACTCTAGTACTTAAAGATCTGATGCTATTGCAGCATCTACGCTAACCTCTTCGGGAGCTGCCATGTTTTGGACTAACTGTCGCCCCTCAGTGTCATCTCGCACACACCTAAGCCAGCAGCTCCTCAAAGGATGCCGATTGGTCCGTGCTCTGGCTTACCAGACACAAACGTATTACTCCAAGGTCTGACAAGATGGACTTTCGTGTGAGTGCGACAGTCCAGCTGCTGCGCAAGGTAAATTTCCTCCTCTACCCAGGCCCTTCTATATACTCCATCCTGGTGTCTAAGTGCTGACTCTGCCCAACTACCTCAGGTGGGTTGCATCTACCCTGCTCATACAAAAGCTGCTGTGTTCTTCGGGGGCCAAATTTGGCTCCTCTCCATGTCAATGGGTTGAAGCATGGTTCAAGATTGTTATTAGTGAAACACATGTAAACGTGTCATGCTTTCAAGGACAAACCCATAAAATGAACACATTTTCTAAAAATGTCACAGCACTAAACATGCTACAGAGAGCCGTTTAGCACCGCCAGTGCTCCCAATCTATCCCGAGGACTCACCTATCCTCCTGTGAGTTCTTTGAGCGCTTGTGCTTGGGCTCACGAGGGGTTGCGCGCACCTTCTTGGGCTTATTCTCACCATACTCCTCATCTGCAGAGGGGACAAGATTCGAGTATTTCACTCGCATGAATCCACATACAAGGACATGTTATCGTTTGCAGTTGGCCACACAGACTAATAGTTTTACTGTATGTTTTTCAAAGTCACACTCAATAGAGATATTTGTAGCATATGTGGAAAACGTCACAGAGGAAATGGCACAATAGTTATGCGGTGTTGAACGAGTTTCAACTCTCAGTGACAAAAAAGAAAGAAAAAAAAGTGCAGCGCTCGGCGCCTCGTCACGCTGTTGCCGTTTGTTTGTAGCATAGTGCAAATATGATGCACTCCCATTGCAAAGAATTACAAAATAAAAAGCGTGAACAAATCGCTCGTGGTGGTTGCTTGCCATCCACTGCTCTTGGCTTGTTAACAGTATTGTGATAATGCGGTTATTGTGACAGCCGTTGCCTGAGGACGATAAACAAATCTCCATGATAATGCTACACTGTGAACAAAAAATTGATGTTGAAACCGGCAGGAGGGGAACTGTTTGTTAGCTGGAAGCAGCCGGTGGGCAGCGCAGTCCTGATTGGCTCAATAACGAAGCTAACAGCTAAATTACGGAGGCTACATTATGATGTGTTCCAAGTTTTATTAATTTAAAATTAGTGTTGCCCAAAGCTACATTATTTAGTTACCATGATGTGTTCAAAGGCAATCTTGTTGTTTTTGCCAATAGAGATGGGGCCGATCATCAGGGACCGATAACATATTTTACTGATATTTGTATCCACTACTACATTCCTGGTATTGTGACATCCCTATATAATTGCTGGATTAAAAAAGGTAATAAAATATCACTGAATTATTTCATGTTAAAATAAAGAACGAGCTGTTTAACTCCGCATTATGATCAGGTTTTGGGCTTCCCCTCAGCAGCAGTTCCGGTAATAATATATTAATATGGCCGACACCTGGGAGTGTATTCTACAGTATTGGGTTGAAAAATATGCAAGTAATACACAAGTCTTTAGTCAGAAATGTTGCCAATTTGTTTACACTTAATACCTTCAATATCTCTGGATGTATTTTACCATTCTGGACAATGTTGCTAATCAATGAGCAGGACTTTATGGTATTATTGGATTTTTACCTTTTGCATCAATGGAACAAGGTGCCTTGATCGACCAGGAACTTAATTTGCCAGATCAGCCAAAAGCAGACATTACTATCTGTATTTTTCCGTCCATCAACAATGTCTCAATTCACTTTCCAGTCAATATATTACAGTATACATGGATATCACGGTGTAAAATACCACACAAAGTAGGGCTTTTATCCACATCGCCCACCGTTACGAGCACATATATTGAAAGGCATCTCTTACCTGCATCATCAGACTCGTTGAATTGTGAGTAGTTCACCACTTTCCTGTTTCTGTGAAGAAGAATACACACTGTATCACATTACGTTTACACAGGACAAAGTTACTTCACTGCCCCCGCCTAATATTAGACATGCAAATGGCTGCTGGGTGGGGGTGGAGGGGGCTACAGAGATGTAAGAGGTCATGTCCACATTTCAACAGCAACAAGTCCGCTGTGTATGAAAGTCTTGTTTGTGTTATTTGGTTTGAGAAACCACAAACAGCCTCCAGCTGGGGGGCACTGAACTGGACACTAGTCTACCTTCTACAGTTTCCATGGCCAATCTGGAGAAGTGTATATGGGGGAAGCCTCAGGTGACAGCAGCCGACTATAGCTCAGGTAACACACACCTGTTGAAGCCGCACTGGTGCGAGGTTAAAACCAGAGATAAATCATCCTTCATTGATGTGGATACCTTTCAAACACAATCTTAAGTGCTTTACGTACAGCTCACACGCACACAAACTTTTAAAACACAAAAAAGGTCAAAATGAAATAGTCTGCAAGCACTGGTTACACATCTGTGGATCCTAGCCACGCTGGAGAGGTGTGTGTGTGTGTGTGTGGTGGTTGGAAGGGAGGGGGAAGGGTCACGGTGCCAGAAACTTTTACACGTCCTTAGATTACAACCACAACCACAACCACACACACATACACACACACACACACACACACACACACACACCACAGTCAAAGCCTCAGACATGTGTAACAGCATTACCGTTCACATGTCAGGAACATCAGAGAGCGCAACGTCCTGCATGGTACTAGCCAACAACGTTCTAGGAAGTCTGCATATCCTTCTGTGGGTTTTTTTTTTTTTTTTTTTTTTGCTTCGAGTTACGATTTGTTCTCACGTTCAAACGGGCCATGCACCTTTCCCAGAAATTACTTTTAACACTGAAATATACGAAGCGTGAAAGAAGCCATTGCAACTCATTAAAAGCACCAAACATCAGCCGATCAACCGGCAGAAGATAAATCTGCAACTATTTTTTCCTTCTAAAGTGGGACGAATTGATAGTTGTGTTTGTTGTAAATGAAAAGCTGAAGACTTTGAATTGTCTGTTTGGACAACACAAGACGGTTGAGGACATCACAGTGGGCTGTGAAAAATGACAAAAGGGCATTTTTCACTATCTTCTGACATTTTACAGGCAAAACAATTCATCAAGAAAATGATTGGCTCATTGATCAAAAGATAATGAAAATGATTGCTAACTGCAGCTCTACTAGTCATTATATTCAAACTGGGGATATCCAACCAGCAAGGGCCCAGTCAGTTAGTTAAACGGACTAAATGCAGCAGAAAAACTATCACCAAGTGTTTGTTAATAGATTTGTTTGTTTAACATATTTGGGTATTTGTTACCATCATGTATCACTACCCCAGAAATTCAGGTTCGGGGGAAAAAGTAAGTTTGTATTACATTACAAAAACAGAACATTTCATGCCCTACTAGGGTTGTTAATAATTAACCACTTAAGTTAGCCAGAGCCGAAGGTGTCGCTAACTTCACAGGCTAACCCACAACTAACAGGTCCTCACTCAAGAAAATGTGGTGTTTTGACTTTGGGACATTATTAGTAATATAGATGACCCCCAGAAATCTTGCTATAATTCAAGTTAAATTTGATTATTTCCACATACCACAGCCTCTGTCTGAACGTTTAATTATTCTGCCACAGTTTGCCCTGTAAAATCATATTAGTTTTTAACGTATTTCTACAGCCACATGGCATTGCCTCTAATTGAGACGAATGACTTGGCCACATTTTTTTTCCCTTCTGCCCTAATTTACACAACACGCATGTTTACATGCGTGTTGTGTAAATTCACTGTGTGTAAACACACTCAATCTCAAAGTAAATATAAAATACAATCTTATTCAGCAGCATTGGGGAGATTGGTTGAGCTTTAATCAAAGTTCTCACAATGGATCATTGGTCATAATGGCTTTGCATGTTGAGGAAGCATTGTTTTCTTCAAATTTTGGGCTTCTATTAATTGACACCTTTCAATAAAAAAAATAGCATTAAAAACAAAACAAAAATTACTTTTGAGGGTGCTGTTGGTGTGTGACCGTAAGATTAATGTTAATTAAGTAAAAAAAAAAAAAAAGGAAGTGTCTTACTGATGTTGTGGTTCTATTAGTTTGAGGTATCGGGGGGGGGGGGGGGGGGATTTCGAGGTTCAACTTTAAAATTAGAGCAGAGAGCACAAAAATGACTTCTAATCAAGTTAAAGGACGTTTTTAATTTGTATTAAAGGGGCCTGGAAATACCTCATGCGTTACAATCACGCGGGGGGGGGGGGCTTTTTTGTAGTTCTCCGCCTTCCTCTGACATCAGCCAGCGGCGTTAATTTACTGCCAGCACCGAAAATGTAGATCCGCTCTGCTCAACTCTTGTTGTCCGACAACGACATTTTCACAGACCAACACGCCTGTTTTATATTGTTTTTAGCCGACAAAAATGTTCTAAATGCAATAAAAATGCGACACAAGCGTACTACGGTATCGTACCCAGTCTGCGCGGCAACAATATCAAATCCTGAGGCCAGACACCACCTCTGGTCGTTTTCTTCTCCTTTTTTTACATTTTCGATGGTGGTGGTGGTGGGGGGTGTTGGCGTTTTCAGAGCCTCCCCTGGATGAATGGGGTCGCCATATTCTCATTCTCAAGGCAGAGAGGGAAAAATGTTATCAGGCCTGGCGTAAGTGAGCCGTAAAACGTAGCTGGTTAAATCACACCGCCTATTTTTTTCCGCTTGGCCTACATAGCAGCCAACAATGCACATCATGGATTCGTAAAAAAAGAAGCATGATAGACACGACACAGCGCGTCTCTCAACAAGACATGGCGAACCGTCCACGCCGCTGGGATCCATGTTAGAAAGGGAAGGGTGAACACACGCGAGCAGGGAAGCACACGCGCACACATTCCCATTATTTTTTCATGAAATAAACACATTCCCAGCTCAAAAAAAACCGCAACATGGTCGAGGCGTGCATGTTATCTGCGAAGCCTGCCTGCGCGGTGTCCGTTATTAACGTTACGTAGAGCGGAGGACATATTTAGCACCTACCTCACTGGTCTTGACATTTTGCAGGAATACTGTAGAGGTTAAGGATGTAAGAAAGAAGGGGGGGAGAAGAAGCAGCACAGTGAAAAAAAATATTGGTTCCCGCTCTGCGAAACACCGAGGGGCGCGAGCTTTGCGCACAACTCCGCCGTCCGAGCTAGCGCGTGAAAATAAAAGTACGGCGGCGACTCGTCCTCCAAACGCAAATATTCTTAATTTTTTTTTTTACCCTCGGCTACTCAAAATGGTGAATAAAACAAACTGAAACTGCAGCCCGTGTGCAACCAAACGCTGCGGCCTCGAGGGGTGGGTTCCTCGAGGACAAGCACCGCCCCTGCGGGGCAGTGAGAGGAGCAGCGCGGCACTCCGCTCCTCTCATTGGCCGATTTGAAACACGACCGTCCTTTGTATTGGCCACTTTGGCTGCACGTTAGAACCTTTTTAGCATTTTGTTCCCCCGCCTCCGTTAGCAGGCTCGGTTGAACCAGTACTGTCAAGAAAACAAAAAGAGGCCCTCAGGTTGGATGCAAACATTTAATTTAGTGGCTCCCAAAAGACCACAAAGCAACATTGGTTAATTATAGGTTCGTGCACAATCATCTTTTGTATGAAATGATCACGTATGTTTCAGGAATCAGATTGACTGCGGTATTGCTGCTACTGAGGCTAACCTTCTTCTCCCCACCTGGCATCCCGCTGCAGCATGAGATGCAGGTAGAAAACAGTTGCATAGCATTAAGCTGTAAAGCCTGCAAATCACACTCACAGGTTAACTGTGCACAGGTTATCCAGTTTATATCGGTGATAGATTTCATACAATTATGCTTTTTTCTTTTCTTAAGACTGTGATGAGAATCTATAACTAAATTTCACAATGCCAAATTGCCTCAAGTCATTATAAAAAAATGCCTAAATTGCTTGGACCCTGTTCTACCACTTTCAGACCTTTAAACGGACCCACGAGAATCCAGATCAACTGGGTCAACATGTCTTCATGTATATTTATTTTAAAGGTCTGCAGATTTATTTCATTGATGCAAAATATAATATATATTATAATATTATCAGCAAATAAACTATGATACATTGTTATAAATTAAGCTGTATAAATTAGTTTAAAATAACCCCACCGTTACCAGATATATATATATATATATATATATATATATATATATATATATCTGAAATGGGTCATGGTTCTGCACAAGTACTTACTTTGGGCACTTTAAGTACAGTTTGATGCTCACAATTCTACTTCCACTCAAGTAAAAGTGAATTAGTTACTTTTACTTGTAACCGAGTAGTTCTATGGCATTTCTTCCGTAAAATGTTTAAGGACTTCTTCCACCACTGGAGATAACCGAGTTACGTATATACTGTAAGTGTGAATGAGCTTAAGTCCCTCAATCAAGACCCTAATCTAGTGCTACATGGGCAAACAGCCCTGATATAAACCCACAGAAACACTGACCAACTCCCCGTGCTATTCAGAGATTGCAGAAATTGATTATTTGTGGAGAACTGAATTAAGGCAAGTTTGATAATAGTGAGCTGAGCCTGTCGGTCTGAGTTATTCTACTTGGCTTGACTTGGACTCGGGTCAGACCGAGTCATGAATTTGGTGACTTGACTTGACAAAATAAGAAAAAGACCTGCAACCTGATTTAGACTTCCACTCCAGTCTTTTGACTTACAAACACTCGATACCTTTCCCCCAAAGACCAGAGATTAAAAAAAAAAATGTTGAATCACATAATTTCCCTTCATTTCTTGAGTTAACAAACACTATAAGTTCTCAGCAGGTCAACGCTTAATTCCTCACATCCTTTTTTCATAAAAAAATTCAGTCACACTTAAGTCTTTAACAAACTTGTTTTAACAAAATAGAGAAAAAAACATTCACGATTTTTGCAAATGTAGTATATTGTTTCTCTGTTGTTTAGGTGCATTACATTTGGTAAATAGTGCATAGTGACTTGTTTCGGACTGGAAACTCAAAGGGTAGCACATGGCACTTGACTTGGGACTTGAGTGCAAAGACTTGAGACTTAATTATATGATTCCAATGACTTTGTCCCACCTGGTACATTGTCAGTTACAGCTTAATTGATGCCTCGTGTAGCTCTCCAAACAAAGTTGGGTATTTTAATTTCAACAATCATTTGCTCAGTGGGTACACAATGTAAATGTGGTTGTGCTGCAACAATCTTTTTGTAAAACCTGATTGAGGTCTGGAGGCTCTGGGTGGAAGTAACCTTTGTGTTTCAGGCTTATTGAGTTCCAGGTCCACCCACTCGTGTGGTGAGCTCGAGTGAGGTTCTGCCGTCAAATTGTAGGCTGCATGCTGAGGGCTTGTTTGGAATGTGAGTTGTTCCCATCATGCTTTGTGTGCATGTGTGTGTGGGTCTCTATGTCAGTGCAGGCTGCAGAATCCTGATCAGAATATGAGAGCTTGCTCAGCATTGTTTTAGGTGATGAGAAACTGTTAAAATGCCCCATATTGTCTCTATACCTCTCTGTCTGTTGCTCTCTCTCTTTCTCTCTCTTGCTTCTTCCATATCAGAGGTACTTCATGTCTCCGTGTTCAGGGATGATGCCGGAGTGGGGGGGGGGGGGCAGGTATGTTGCCACAGCAACCGGGGAAGGGACTCTCGCCTCTCTCTTTGTGGCTTCACAGTTGCCTCCGGATCATCCTTCAGACCGAGTTCTTGCATACTCCTGCGACAATAAAGACGTCCTTGGACCTCAGGGACGTGTTTATAGCACACCTCTGGGCTTGATGACTAATTCACAGTGTGTGTCCTGCAGGTAGGGAACGGAACTGACATGCATAACAGAAAAAACTCAGATTACACAGTGTCCGTGCATCGAATTCAAAGATAACAGTTTGTTTTATTCACTTAAAAACCCTATTTATTATCCAACTGTTGAGGTGCAACACATTTGATTCATGCTTGTGATTAAATGTTGAGTTTCAGCCAACCATGATTAGTTGGAAGAGCGCCATGCCATTTCCACATCTGTGTAGCACCGCCACCTTGTGCCTTGTATGTTAAACTGCAATGCAACAGGGAGAACGGCCTGTAAATACAACCTCAATTGACCCAGATGTTAAAGTAGCCTTGACAGAAAAGTTGGGAGTTTCAACCGGCGTGGACCAACGGAGAGGTTCACATTTGTTTTTCATCCAGCACAGAGTAGGTTTTCGGTTTTGAGAGGTTGTATGTAAAGATGGGTGAGAAATGAAAGGGAACACCAACACAGAGATCTAGTGCTCCTTGTCATAGTGTGTTTAGTCTCTATAAACAGATTCTGCATTCACATGGAGGCAACAGGACAAGGTTTTGGAAGCGGAAGCGTTCTGGTTTCCGTTTGTAGTCCTAGTAGTATAGTAACAAATCACATTGGAGCAGTCTTTGGCTGGACTGCAATCTGGAAACCCATTGGCGACCATCTAACAACGTTTTAAGTTTTCATTGGTTTAACGTTAGCTTGTAAACTGGCTAAAGAATACGATAGTGCACTCTCTCAGTCTCACATCTCAATTGAGTTGCTAGTCGGACTGTAAACAATGAGCAGTGCACGGAAAAGGAAGTCTTAACCTCCGGTTTTGCCCAGTGAAGCCGATGCAGAAGTGTCTTAAAAGTTGCATTCTCTCTACTGACCAGCAGGGGGCGACTCCTCCGGTTGTATATAAGTCTATGAGGAAATGACTCTACTTCTCTCTTGATTTATTACCTCAGTAAACATTGTAAACATGAGTTTATGGTCTCAATCTCTAGTTTCAAGTCTTCTTCAATACAGCATGATGTTCATTTAGTAAATGATGGTCCATTTAGAGTCAAATAGACCATAAAGCAGATTGTGGTTTAGGGCGGGCTTACTGTGATTGACAGATTGCTCCCACTACCAGATACGGTCTCTACGTCACTCCTCCTCATTCCAAATATGGTCACTTCTGTTCATTGGCTGCAAAAAACAACATGGCGACGGCTGTATTCCAAGATGGCAACGGCAAAATCACTGAACTCAAGGCTTCATAACGGCAGTCCACACACCAGTGGGTGACGTCACGATGACTACGTCCACTTCTTATAGACAGCCTGTGGTCTTGGCCGTCAGAGATTGGCTCAGAGATTGTAGCGTGTAATAGTCTAGATGGGATGAGCAGCATTCTACTACTTTATACTTCCACTAACTAGTCTACTCTTCACTCCAATACATTTATTTGACAGTTACAAGCTACTATTCAGATTCATATTTTATACAAAAGATCAAAAGAAAGCCTTATTAAAGATTTGAATAGTGGTCCCCAACCTTTTTGGCTTCTGAAAAAAATCTGTGTGTGGATGGGGCTCCCTGTCATGTTTCAGATGTGAGATTTGAGTTGTTAGCAAGCAATTTCCTGTCTAAAGTCTAAAAAATGTATACAAATATGTGCGTGGAAGTTTTTTTTCATGACTGCTCTTGCGACCCTTTGGAGGGGCCCTGAGCCCTCGGTTGGGAACCACCTAACCAGCATATCAAGTATTTAAAACTAGCTCCACCACGACTAGCTGCAACAGCACAATGCTACTTACACTTTGTTGCATCAGCATTTGCGGTCTAATGATGTCATGTATAATAATATTACATTAGGGGCTGTTTACTGCAGTGCCTTTGATACTTCAAGTACATTTTCACAGATAATTGCTTCTGTGCTTTTATGCACGCAAGACTTTTTACTTGTAGTGGAGTATCTTTGTGGTGGTGGAGGGTTTAAAAACTAGTTAATTAATCGCTAGACACATATAAGACTTGATTATTTATGATACCAAATCCTTGCGACATAAACCACTCATTGCATCCGTGTGCTGAACACGTTCCAAATGCTCATATCTTTGCCAAAGTGTGTCTGCGTCCTGTTAAACATTGCTATAATTATAAGATACGCATCACTATCCATGATTTTGTGACACTTTTGTTAAATGATCATATCAAACAGATGTATAAAAACATCAGTATATTTCTCACACCCTCAGGGCTCTCTTGTTGACTTTTTGTGGCAATTTGATTAATGGTAATTCTGTTTGAGAATGTGCACCATTATAGCACAATGTCATTTGTATTTCATGTCATGTTGAGGAGCCCTGAGTCACAATCTAGTTCAAGTGGTGAGATCGAGCAGGTAATAACTAGTTAGTGATATTGTTAATTATCTAGTGATTAATGAACTAGTTAAAATAAATATTAGTCATTAGTGACTTTAATAGTTTTAATTGTGAGACTATTGTGCAGCGTCTGCATCTAAGGTCTGGAATGAACTTTGA